ATATCATCCCTTTATTAGGTGATACATAACCCTTTCCCAACGTTAGCTTAACCGTTCTACCCCAAGTACATACTGCTTTATTTTTTTTATATTTCAAATAAATATCTAATTGATTTTGTTGAATTTATTTTATAACTTTTTATAAAACCTTCTTTAACTAAAATATTTAAAATATTTATACTTTGTTTTGATTTGTGCTGTATTATTTTTGATTTTTTTGCTAAGTAACCGTTTTTTATTTTTGAAAATAAATTTGAAAGAGTATCTGTTATAATCATATATATAATAAATTTACCAACTATATTTTGAAACACCAGGTAAAAAACCTTTTGATGCTAATTTACGTAATTGGATTCTTGAGATTTTAAATAAACGATAAACACTTTTAGGACGTCCTGTTAAAACACATAAATTTTTAATTCGAGTAATTGATGAATTTTGATGAAAAAAGAACCATTTTTGTTGTAATTTCCATCTTAAATCTTTTTGAATATTTAAATTTTTTGAAATAATTTTTAATGTTAATCTATTTTTTTCTAAATTTTTAAATAAATAACGTTGTTTAATATTTTTTTTAATTTTTTTTTGCATAAAATTATATAATAATTATGGAGATAATCGGATTCGAACCGATAACCTTATATTTGCAAAACATACTTTCTACCAGTTGAAATATATCCCCTAATAAGTGTATTGGGACTTGAACCCAAGACCATCGGATTAAAAGTCCGGTGCTCTACCAACTGAGCTATACACTTATTTTAAGTTAATTAGATTTTTAATTAACTATTATAAAAATTTTTTTAAATAATAAAAATTTTTGATTTAAAAAACTATTAATTTTTTGTTTTAATAAAGTATTAAAAATCGGAGTTTTTGGATTGGGCTGCTCTTCAACTCTAACTGGCTTGCTCTTAGGTCTGCACTCAACTCGGAAGTGACTTATTACAAATTATTATAACTGCCAGCACAACTGGGTGGCTCCAATGCTTCTCTGTCATCGAGTTGAGAGCTCATTTATTCGCTTACAGCCTGTCCTCACGCACCCAAAACAATAAGCAAAACGGTTGAGTGTGAATTGTGCAATGAGTAATTACACGCATTGACACCTAAATAATTTCATGACGCTTTGTCAACGCTCTGCCTGCCATTCCGACCCTAAACTGCATTCTGACTACACGTTTCGGTGGCGTTTTATCATCGTTTTCTTCGTACCAGTGGCGCGATGCATGTCTTCTGCCTAGCTACTGTCGCTACTAGTGGGTGACGTACTGCTCGAGGGTACGCACCAGCTCCGAGAAAGATGGACGCAGGCTGGGCTCCCTCATCCAGCAAGACCGGATCAGTCGAGCGAAGAAGCGCGGGCACGAGCGCGGGATCGGTGGACGCAGGTCATGGTTTAGCACACCCAGAGCCACCTGTATCTGCGTCATGCCGTCGTACGGGCATTGGCCCATGAAGATCTCCCAAACTACGACGCCGAATGAGAACACGTCTGCCTTCTCTGTGTATTTACGGTTGCCAAGCACTTCCGGTCTGTAGCAGAAGCAAATAACAAAAAAATCAGGTGAGTGACTTTTCAAGATCCAAAATGACAAAAGTTGCAGCCACGTACGCCATCCACTGGACAGTGCCGCAGTTGCCAGTCATGGTCTGAATTTGCGCCTTGACACGCGAGAGACCAAAGTCCGAGATCTTGATCGAGTAGTCGCGCTCAACAAGCAGGTTGGGGCTCTTCATGTCTCGGTGCAAGATCGGCAGCTCGAACTGGTGCAGGTAGCTCATGCCTCGAGCCGTGTCCAGTACGAACCGTGCGCGCATCTCGTCTGTGAGTTGCCGTCGTCGTGTGCGTAGTATGGCCCAGAGCGAGCCCTGTTCCACGAGCTCGATGACTAAAGCTCGGTTCTCGCGGGCGAGGCACGCCCCAAGTAGCATGCAGATGTTCGGGTGGTGCAAGAAACTCATGATTTTCACTTCTGTCTCGAACTCCCGGTGGATCGATACTTCCGGCACTTCCAGACACTTGAACAAGCCTATAAGCAGCACGTGACAAGCGACATCCTACACCTCTACGCTTTGTTGGAGGCCGAGAGTAAGTACATCACGGCATGGAACAAATGCGAAGAAGCGAAGTACAACGACCAACGCGCACTAACCAAGCTGCTTTTCCGATTCAAGTACGTGTGAGTGGTCTGTCGTTTGATACTCTGAATCTAAACAATTGTTCCTGTGTAGCTCTTTCGCGTTGCAACTCGAAAGCGAGACGTCTGGACAGGTGCGGATGTGGAGACTGCCAGTGTCAGACCCACAGCGCAAGCGCTGCGTCAAAGCTGCCACGGAGAATATAAAGAAACGTTTCTTCTCATCACCTGGACAACCACTGGAGGTACTCGAGGTCTACAAGATCGACAACCGAGTGTTGCTGAGTAACTTTCAGAGATTTACCGATTCGCTCTCCAAGACAAACTCCGATATCAAGATCAAAGGGTTATTTTGCAATTTACCCGCGGACAGCGTTAAACGCTGCGTTGTATACGGTATGCACACAGCAAAAGAGAAGAACGGGGAAATTCGTTTCTTAGACCCCCACGGAGCCGAAATCAAGGTATTTAGTCGCTCAGCGTACGTTTGAGACACAAAATTACTTCCCTTCACTATCAAAATACTCACTCAGTTACATGAAGCCTGCTGCACGACCGTAAAGATGCCCCTGGGACGAGTATGGCATTTCGCGCTCGCTTAAAGGTAAATAACGGCACTGAATTGCAGTTTCCGAGGCGATTCAGCAGGTATAGTACTGCTAGAGGAACTGCGCACCACAGTAACTGGAACTGCTTCAGG